TGATGAAACGGTATTGTACAAAATGAGCTGTTGGGCTAGTTGGTTTTGCATATTTACAATGTAGCGCAAAGACAAAAGAGAAAGGAGAGAAATAGGAAAGAAGCGTTCTTTCCTATTTCCTATAGAGTCTGTCTCTTTCCCGTTCTGTCTTTGCGCTACAATGTAAATATGTAAATAGCTATTGTACAAATTCACTGTGTGAATGCTGACGATGATGATGGGATGGTGAAGAGGGCAATGAGCGTCAGGCATAGCAGCGGCCTTTGCGACGTGATCTTCGCTGGGCTGCCATGGGCTGCTGACTGTAGAAGGCCAGTCTCGAGCGCCTGGCGAGGGCTCCCTGCGTGACCAGCTTGCAGACAAACCGGCCGAATTGCCGGTGACGCAGGGAGTCCAGCACCCGCGTGGATGAGCTCCAGTTGGTGGCGCCGATGTTGGCCGGGTGGCGGTCTTCGCGAAAACGGGCCTTCATGACTCATGTCGAGCCTGTAACCGAGCAGCTTGAGCACCCTGTCGATCGAAGACATAGTGGTGCCACTGTTCCGGCTGGCTCTCTGACGACGGAAAAGACACGTTGTCCTGCTGGCTTCCTCTTCTGCGCCGTTCTTTCCCCCCTCCGATTTGGACACTTACCCCTTTACCTAGAATTGTTCCCGTTATGAGCGGTCCGTCGCGTTCTCATGGTTTCCAAAATTGCGATAAAGGTGTGAGATGACGACGATCACGACGATATTGCTTTACAGGTCCTCGCCACACGGCATTGCGTACACTCATCCAACTATAGTCACTGCAACGGCCGCCTCTAAAACAATGGCGCTTCGAACGACGGGAGGCAAACGGCGGTGAGTGAGGGGGGTTCTGCCTCTGCAAGCAGCGTCTATGAGCATTTCCGTAATTGAGCCAACCCAATAAGGTTACCGCACGTACGTAAGATACGTAAGTCAAACTTAATTTTCAGTGTTGCGCAGGTATCGAGCGCGACTAAGAACAATATTCACTTTTTGAGGAGACCCCCAGAACAATAGCACACCTGCAAGTTTAGCCGATCACTGCTGCACCGAATCCAATCTTGTAAGTAGCAAATTATTTTTTCCTGTTAGTATTTTGTGGTGGGCGAGCGTATGGTGACGACGAAAAATGTGTGTTTGGTTGATTGCTATTGTGTCTCAATTTGCCATGTCCTCTTGCCCATATGTATGTGCGGTCATTGCAACCGCACAAATGTTGCTTCGAAATACGGACAATAATCGTTTTCTTTCTTATTTCAAACCGCGAGCGAAAACTTCCTCGTTGACAGCCTGTTTTACATACTTGTGCACATGTTTGGCAGTGTTCGAAGCAGTGACAATGTTGTTGATACTAAAATATGTAGGATGACGTAACTTTTTGGGTTCCTCGTAAATACAAATCTTTGTAGTATAAAAGATTGAGTCAACCTTCTGAGGAAAGAGAATGAAACGACTGATCAGCCCCGTTAACAACTTTTGTGCTGTGTGACTCCTCGTAAATACAAATCTTTGTAGTATACAAGATTGAGTCAACCTTCTGAGGAAAGAGAATGAAACGACTGATCAGCCCCGTTAACAACTTTTGTGCTGTGTGACTCCTCGTAAATACAAATCTTTGTAGTATAAAAGATTGAGTCAACCTTCTGAGGAAAGAGAATGAAACGACTGATCAGCCCCGTTAACAACTTTTGTGCTGTGTGACTCCTCGTAAATACAAATCTTTGTAGTATACAAGATTGAGTCAACCTTCTGAGGAAAGAGAATGAAACGACTGATCAGCCCCGTTAACAACTTTTGTGCTGTGTGACTCCTCGTAAATACAAATCTTTGTAGTATAAAAGATTGAGTCAACCTTCTGAGGAAAGAGAATGAAACGACTGATCAGCCCCGTTAACAACTTTTGTGCTGTGTGACTCCTCGTAAATACAAATCTTTGTAGTATACAAGATTGAGTCAACCTTCTGAGGAAAGAGAATGAAACGACTGATCAGCCCCGTTAACAACTTTTGTGCTGTGTGACTCCTCGTAAATACAAATCTTTGTAGTATAAAAGATTGAGTCAACCTTCTGAGGAAAGAGAATGAAACGACTGATCAGCCCCGTTAACAACTTTTGTGCTGTGTGACTCCTCGTAAATACAAATCTTTGTAGTATACAAGATTGAGTCAACCTTCTGAGGAAAGAGAATGAAACGACTGATCAGCCCCGTTAACAACTTTTGTGCTGTGTGACTCCTCGTAAATACAAATCTTTGTAGTATAAAAGATTGAGTCAACCTTCTGAGGAAAGAGAATGAAACGACTGATCAGCCCCGTTAACAACTTTTGTGCTGTGTGACTCCTCGTAAATACAAATCTTTGTAGTATACAAGATTGAGTCAACCTTCTGAATAAAGAGAATAAAAGGACTGATCAGCCCCGTTAACAACTTTTGTGCTGTGTGACTCCTCGTAAATACAAATCTTTGTAGTATACAAGATTGAGTCAACCTTCTGAATAAAGAGAATAAAAGGACTGATCAGCCCCGTTAACAACTTTTGTGCTGTGTGACTCCTCGTAAATACAAATCTTTGTAGTATACAAGATTGAGTCAACCTTCTGAGGAAAGAGAATGAAACGACTGATCAGCCCCGTTAACAACTTTTGTGCTGTGTGACTCCTCGTAAATACAAATCTTTGTAGTATAAAAGATTGAGTCAACCTTCTGAGGAAAGAGAATGAAACGACTGATCAGCCCCGTTAACAACTTTTGTGCTGTGTGACTCCTCGTAAATACAAATCTTTGTAGTATACAAGATTGAGTCAACCTTCTGAGGAAAGAGAATGAAACGACTGATCAGCCCCGTTAACAACTTTTGTGCTGTGTGACTCCTCGTAAATACAAATCTTTGTAGTATAAAAGATTGAGTCAACCTTCTGAGGAAAGAGAATGAAACGACTGATCAGCCCCGTTAACAACTTTTGTGCTGTGTGACTCCTCGTAAATACAAATCTTTGTAGTATAAAAGATTGAGTCAACCTCCTGAGGAAAGAGAATGAAACGACTGATCAGCCCCGTTAACAACTTTTGTGCTGTGTGACTCCTCGTAAATACAAATCTTTGTAGTATACAAGATTGAGTCAACCTTCTGAATAAAGAGAATAAAAGGACTGATCAGCCCCGTTAACAACTTTTGTGCTGTGTGACTCCTCGTAAATACAAATCTTTGTAGTATACAAGATTGAGTCAACCTTCTGAATAAAGAGAATAAAAGGACTGATCAGCCCCGTTAACAACTTTTGTGCTGTGTGACTCCTCGTAAATACAAATCTTTGTAGTATACAAGATTGAGTCAACCTTCTGAGGAAAGAGAATGAAACGACTGATCAGCCCCGTTAACAACTTTTGTGCTGTGTGACTCCTCGTAAATACAAATCTTTGTAGTATAAAAGATTGAGTCAACCTTCTGAGGAAAGAGAATGAAACGACTGATCAGCCCCGTTAACAAGTTTTGTGCTGTGTGACTCCTCGTAAATACAAATCTTTGTAGTATAAAAGATTGAGTCAACCTTCTGAGGAAAGAGAATGAAACGACTGATCAGCCCCGTTAACAACTTTTGTGCTGTGTGACTCCTCGTAAATACAAATCTTTGTAGTATACAAGATTGAGTCAACCTTCTGAATAAAGAGAATAAAAGGACTGATCAGCCCCGTTAACAACTTTTGTGCTGTGTGACTTCTCGTAAATACAAATCTTTGTAGTATACAAGATTGAATCAGCCTTCTGAGGAAGGAGAATGAAAGGACTGACCCCTTTAACAACTTTTGTGCTGTGTGACTCCTCGTAAATACAAATCGTTGTAGTATACAAGACTGAGTCAGCCTTCTGAGGAAAGAGAATAAAAAGACTGACCCCGTTAACAACTTTTGTGCTCTGTAACATTGATTGCAACTGGAAGCCAAGTCAGGTGGCTCAAGCTTTACTTTCGCATGTGTGCAAGGCACTAGAACGGACTTCTGCTGGTCGATATGGGACAGCCAAGGTCAGTTCAGGCAATAAGGAAGTATGAATAATAATGCTAGGGCAAAGAAAATGCTTTGGGTTGAGACCTATGCTTGTAGGCCCGTCTTGACCGTGGGGTCACGCAAACAGATACCCTTCTCTGAGCCACTTCCTCGTGCCTGTGTCTCTGACGGCGCCGTACGCCACTTCTGAGAGGGAGCAATACCGCCTGTCGTCAGATACATGCTAAGAATGTGCCAGAAGCCCCAACATCCTCTGCCACCAGCCACTGTTCCTCCACAATGCACAAAGAGCCTGCTATATTCCGCGACAACTTTTCTTGGCAATGCAGTGGAAGGTACAGGCCCGCGTCCCCTCTCCCATTTTGAGTGTGCGCGGGCTCTCCTCCTCTCCCCGAAAATGGGGAAGGAGGAGAGCCTGCGTTCACTCAAAATGGGAGAGGGGACGCGGGCCTGTACCTTCCACTGCATTGCCAAGAAAAGTTGTCGCGGAGTATAGTGAGGCTGTTGTGTATTGATACATACCGTTAGCGTCACATATTACTCATGCCTACGGCTTTTCCTGGTTGGTCAGCGGAGCGATTCAATGCCACGGCTTGTAATGTGGTGATGTGTACCTGGCACAGTCTTGACTTGTATCCTTCCACAGAAGACAAGCCTCTCCTGCTCTAACGTCATCGCTAGTGGATTCATGCAGCGCCTCTTGCCTTTCTTCACATAGTCGCGAGAGTCGCACTGCGTCTCACTATGAGCAGGAAGCCAGCAGACGGCGACAGCATAATGCATACGTCTGCCATTCTGCCACACGCTTCTGTCCAGCTTTAGCGTGTCTGCCGCTGAGCAGGCCGTGTCTTTGAGGTGGTATTGGATATAACGTATAGCTACTCCTCACAAGCCGCGAGACAGAGCCGTGCACTTCATATTGTAGCATAACTGTGTCGAAACCATTCGCCACATGCAGAAATAAGTTGAATCACGAGAAGCAGTATATCCCGGCCTCACTCGGCCGGTCGTCAGTGTTTCCGGACGGAAACTTTATTCCGTTATGCGATGCAGTGTCTAGAGGAGCTTGATGGTCCCGTAAGAAGAGACTGAGCCCAGCATGAGGCCAAGGCCCAGGAAGAGGGCAGCCATGGAGCCCGCCGTCTCCTGGTTTTCGGTCGATGCGGATCTGGGACAGAACAATGAACACTTTTTCGTAACCCCATCAAGCCACAGTGGCATTCGCCATTTCTTGGGCACGAAGCGGATAATGGTTCGAGCCCTCGCCGAACTCTGACAGTATGCGTCATCGATACGAGCTCAGCCGAATCCACGCCAAGGATGAAGCACGAACGGATAATATCTCGTCTGCGTTTGTTCCACTACATTTAAGCGCGAGACACATGCGCGTCAAAACTGTCCGATCCGGCGTGCGAACTGTCGGGAAGATGGCTGCTCCGAATCGCCGCACAGGACGGTTCGCGACACATGGTTTCCGACGCGTCGTTGCGTCGCTCCGTTCAGCTCCGCCCAGTTTCGGGTGTCCCTCTACTAAATGGATGGATGGATGCTAATGGCTATATTTATAACGGGCGGTAGCTCGCGCCACCTAGCCTAGAACACTAAAATACTTCCCTCGCCCTTCTTGGTTTTTCTGACTTTAAAACAAACATAATATTTTTATTACCTTCTATTAAAGTGTGCGTGTGTGAAGATTTTCCGTGAGGCTGTTTTTCTGCTCAAAATCACTTAATCGCGAAGGACCGCAGCGGACCTTAGAGCCATCCCAGAGAAACGAGCACTGCGTAAAAATCACGTGACTACGTACCGCGCACATAACTGCGTCTCTCCCGAAGCTCACATGACATTGGAATGGCTCGTAGCGTCCGCTGCTGTCCATCGTAAGGTGAAACGGAGTATATTCGGGTTTCGACGGGCTCGATCGGTCCCAGAAGGCAGGCTTGCTTTGGCGCTCGAAATCAGCGGCTCGTTTTGTGCGCGCGGAAAAACTCGATGGCGTCCGTTTCCTTCACAACCACGACTCGCCGCGCGTGACGCACCGCGCACCGCCACATCCGCTTCCCCGAACCACATTGCGCCTCCTCGCCCGATCGGTCCGAAAGTCACTTGACAACATGACCTTCGCCATCCGTGCTCATTGGCTGCGGCCACTGCGGCCTTCCGAAAATCGGACCGTGCGTGCGGCGATATCTGGCAAGTTGGACGCACGCCGGCGCCGGACGGAGGCCTCGTCCGACGCTCCGGTGCGACGAAAACCCTCGCCCTCGGACGTCGTTCCGGCGGTTCGCACGTCGGATCGGATGGCTTTTTCGCGCATGTGTCTCGCGCTTTATCACTAACCAACGCTTCGCCAGGCGCTATTTTCGGAACAAGTTTACGCGTCACGCACGAATCGTCAACTAAAAGTTAGGAAAGCCTGAAAACAAATTAAAGTATAATCATTTACAAACGAGCCGAAAGCATAAGAAGACAAAACGGGATCACCAGACCTTGATTGAATCGGCTGTGGCACACAACGAAGGCGACTTCAAAGGCCCGTTCACACGCTTGCAACCGAGTACGACCGAGAGAGACAAGGCCGGTTTTTAAGCCTCTTGCGACGGTGTACGACCAGATGCGCTGCTGCGGAGCAGGTCCTACGCCGTCGCAAGAGGCTCAAAAACCGGTCTTATCTCTTTCGGTCGTACTCGGTTGCACGTGTGTGAACGTGTGTCCTATATACGTCACGCGTTGCTATAAAAAGCACACACACACTTCAGCCGTCTGACTCGGATTTCGTCTTTGCGTTGTTGCAGTGAGAACAGCGTTTATTAATTTATACGTTTTGTGAACATATCGTAAAAATTGGATTTATTCTTATTCTTGTGGTGGGAATAATGTTAAACCAATTAATCGTATAAATACCCAAAAACTCATTAAAAGGCCTGCAGTTCATTGTTTTTTATGCCAATTATCTGAGCGAGAAAAGGCAGCGAGAACGCACAAATATCAGCACTGATTTTTTCAACTAGAAATATCAGCCTGGATGCAACACGTATGTCACAAAATAAAGTTTCTGCGAACAACTTCACTAACTAAATATTTAGGATGCGAGACACATCTTGAGTTATGAAAGAATCCGAAATTAAGATCTCTACCGAAAAATGAAATTCAAAATAGAGTTTGGTTTCGGTTTCGCTCCAAAACTAAAACGCGCATCCTTCCGTAATTAATACGCTAAACACCGTTCTTGTTTTCGGGTTAGAGGGGTGACCTGCGCTCATAACACTCTAGCTTCCTCGTATTGCCAGAAATAATTTGTGTCGCTCAGTGAAGCCAGCACACTAGGCAGGCCCAGCAGCGGCACGCATCTCCGACCTTCACTATAACCGACATTTTGGAAAATGAGTGGCGCCATCTATAGTTAGTTGGAGTCGTGAATACGCCGGCACGCCTGGACGCAGACGTTATATATTTCGAGTGCGCTCGTCATAAACACCGTCGCTGATCCTGAATCCAATATTAAAATGAAAACCGGCTGGGAACCGTCGTAGTTCGCCTGTATGCTTGCTTGTTCAAGTTGTAGCCTGGAGTTTTGTAAAACAAAAGTACGCACAGACGTCTTCGTGCTCGAGTACACCCAAAACGCTGCACTTGTCCGTAATGGGGTTTGAAGGCTGCTACATTAATTTGGTAGCATATACAAGTTATTTCGATTGTGGACTGTCATGGAGAAATTGCAGACGATTAGTTTTTAGATTGCATTCAAAAATATATGAAACGATTTTTTTTTCCTTTCACTTCATATTGTTAATAACAAATCGACGTTACTAAACTGCTATCCGAAACCCTGTTAGTCGCTCAAGAGGGGGCGATTAAGCATAGTCGGAATACTGACCTCACCCGAAAAGTTTCAAGTACAGGAGAAATGGTTCTCTTTCTAGCTCCAATTGTATTTATATATTAGTTATGATTTCTATATATTATTACTTATCAACCGGTATAGCTCGCGCCAGCCCACGTCTCAGTCGTTTACGAGGAGCGCTATTTGTCTTTTTAGCAACATGATTTGTATTTATACGAGTAAATAACCGGGGGGGGGGGGGGGGGGGCAGGGGGGGGGGGGTAAGCTTCAAACCTAAGTAATACAATTTTTTTTTTATATATATGCCTGCATGCGCGTGCGAGCATGGAAGCAGCTTTTCTCGCCCGAAGAAATTAAATGCACAAAAATTTTTGTATCTAACAAAACAAATCTTGAAGAATTGTAGACCGTTTAATTAAGTTGCATGACCGCGCCCTTTCCCCTTCTCAAATATAGCGGGGGTATCCGATTAGGCTGTGATTAATTACAAGTGACGTAGTTTGAATACCGAAGGCAAAATAACTACTTACACCAGTAGGCTATATATTTATTTGAATTAGTGAAGGCAATTTAAAATTAGTATTAATAAAAAAAAGAAGAAAAAAAAACTAATAAATGAACAAAAGGTTAGGGCGCAAGTGAGCTGGTGATGGTTAAACATTTGACTACAAACCTCGAGACTGGGACGCGTGAAGGGACGGACAATCGCAAAGTCTCAAACAGAGCTAAATTTTAGCTGTGTTTGAGACTCTGCGTTCGTCCGTCCCTTCTTGTCCCAGTCTCGGGGTTCTTAGTCAAATGTTTAATAAATGATTTTCATAGAAAACACAACTGTGAGTACGTAGTTTTTAAACATTTGTATTCATCATATTAACGAATTTGAATACAAGCAGCACACAGTGTCTGAGCAACAAGAACACCGAGGGAACATGACACCGCGATCAGGATTTTATGTCAGGATCCATAACGGTTAGTATTTTACGAGGCACAGTGCCAGTAGATTTGTACGTTCCAGTTTTGATTGGATTGTACCGTGCAACAAAAAAGGAGAAACGCGACAAAAAAAAAAAATCCTATACAACAGGAGATCAGGTGCCTCCAGCGCGTTCGTGACGTCATGTTTACCTTCACGGCCAAGGCCTGCGTGGTTGTGCTTCAAACCACGGAGATGTTGAACAGGCTCGCGAGAGAAGGAAAATCCGGTTCGGCCGAATTCGACAGGGATCGCGCGCATGCAGTTTGCCGCCGTTCTCCCATCATTGGAAAAGACACGCGTGGTCGCTGCAGGCATTGTGACAGAGTCATGTGCAGACACGCTTCAAGGATGTTCGACGCATGTTTGCTTCACACATAGACATGCTTCGAAAATGTCTGCAGATAATGAGACAGGGCCGTCACACAAAGGAGACAAACACGCCCCAGACAGGGTCTGCAAACTGTCTTTTGTACGATGCATTAGCTGTGTGGCGAGCGCGGCTTTCACCCGCAGCAGGGTTTTGGCGTTGACTCACTTGGATCCGTAGGTGAGGGCGGGCGTGGTCAGGTATCCGTTGGAGAGGGAGAACAGGACCATGATCACGACGAACGCGATGTCGCTGTCGAGCAGGACGGGCAGGTGGTTCCGTGGGTGGGCGTTGCAGAACAGGAGCAGAGGCACGAAGAGCACCCGGGCGATGCACAAGCCGAACAGCACTTTCCTCCATCCAGGAGGCTGGCGCACAAATGGTGGATTGGGGGGGGGGGGGGGGAAGAGGAGGAGGAGGAGGAGGAGGAGGAGGAGGAGGAGGTGGAGGAGGAGGAGGGGAAGCCGATCAATGCTTACACCAGTATCCACGCGGACACTCGAGACACGAGTTCGGTCACGGAACAATACACTTTTCCATTGTTTATCGCCCAGGTAAAAAAAGCCGATGGATAGGTTGTGGATGCATGCACGGCGTCAGATATTGGCATCGTGCGCAACCTAAGATGTCGCTGTAGTTAACGTTTCAGGATTGGTCAAACGTTCATTATGGCGCTTAAAAGTGATTAATATACCTGTATCACTGAGCGCTCGGCGCATGCCTGACGCCGCCATAACTTTAGTTTACCGGGGGCAGAACTTGAAGAAAAGCGTCCGCCCGAAACGTCATGTATTCCTTTCTGTCCACGTATTTTTTTTCGTGTAGAGCAACCATATATCTGCGATTTCGTGTTTCAGCTCATTGTGCTCGGCAGCGCCTCCATTCTCTTAGATGTCAGTGCACGAGAAGGTTCGTGTTGTCTCCGGATATACACGTGCAGAGCCCCAGCGAGGTTGTCGCAAGGGCAGAAAGACAATAAAGTTCACTCAATGCATTGCGGCAGCGGTGACGTAGAGTCCAACTGACTGGTGATATTAGTCTATTCTCTATTCTGCTCCGGAAAAATAGTGCTGGTCACTGATTCTTATAAACTTTTGACCCCTTATTAAATACTTGTAAGAACTTGTACGCAATATTTATTAATAATATTCATTAACTTTAGAGAAAATGAATTTTGAAGTTTACGCGTATACCTCCGAATCACTTGCTGCCACTCTAATTGCAACAACGATCAAGGACACTCTTGACGTGAAATACTGTATCCGAAAGCAGACGATGCTCCCTAATCCATGGCGTTGTACGTTGTAGTGATATTGAGCGTCTGCGGGTTTACGAATTGCGATCTGGTTTAGGATGTTTGCGGCATGCGATGGAAGGTGGGGAGAATTGGTGATGGGCTAGGGTGCAATAACACTACGAAGAAATGCAGCCGAGTGACATCTTCCTGGTTTACGACCGAGAAGTTTCTGCGGCGGGCATGAGTCCGATCAGTCCTACGCGAGCGCTCACTACTAGCGCTCGCGTCGTGCTAGAAAACATTTCACACTAATTGCTAGCTAATAAAACCTTGCATGCCATTCTGCTTTGAAGTAGCATGTGGATCCACATATCGGCGGATCGCGAATGCAGCCCTTACTGTAGGTCCCCTCGAAGGAGATGCCGGCGGGTCGAATGCGAACGGCGAATCGTGTGAAATATCTGGTAATTGCTTGACTATGACGAGCTTGATGAATCGTAGTCTATTATTTCCTACGGACGATCGCGACGGCCTTCTAACTGCTCCTGTCGCTGGGCAAAACAGACACAAGCTGGCAATGGGCTGATGTTCATACAACATCTGCCGTCACAACAATACGGCGGACCAGTAAAGTTGTAGGTTAGTTTCGGTTTCGGTTATATGTATCGTACTTGTAAGATTAAAAATTATCGAAATCTTTTTGGGGAAATTTACTTGCTGCTTTGGGTTCAGTTTCTTGTGCTCTTTCAGAAATAATATTTTGTTGAGAACGTTCCAATTGACGCCTTTAAGTGAAACTTACCATTGGGAAAAAACCAGAGATTATTCTACCCACGAGGTCTCCTACATTGAAGACCAGGAAGCCTGCCACAGGCAGGAAAAATTTGTCTGCAAACAAAAAGATGTCCACTTTGAGTAACCATATAATAGTGCAAACGCGGCAATTCTTCCACTTTCTGATCCCCACCCCTGTCCGTTTTGATCTGAATGAGCATCGTACCGGCGTACAGTCGCGTGTCACTACTGTGTGATGCACGCTAAAGACCCCGGACTATTACTGGCACTGCGCTGACTACATTTGTCATCGAGAGTTAAACACCAGATCGCCCACTTGGGCTGACTAACTTCCCGCACACAACACCATTACTTGCACTTTATTAGAGTTCAGAGTCGTTGCAGTGTTGAAACTAGACAGCAACTATGGATATGACTGCCGCGGTGCATCACAATGTTTTCTGTAGAACGCACTTTTTGTCAGTATCATTCAGTAGTGTATTCGCTACCACGCGATGCCCTATTCCAGTTTACTGGTTATAATTAGGGTTCCGTGTTTTCGGAGTTTAGTTATTTAATTTTTCAATTCGGGGGTTTTGTCGGGTTTTTTTTTTCCCGTTCATTGGGTAATGTTTTTAATGGGAAGGAGCTGAGCTAGTTGGTTGTACATACTTAGATTGTGAAAACCAGCCGAATACAGAAAAGGGTGAGGAGAGAAAGGAGGAAAAAGCATCCGATCGCTGGTCCCCACCCCACCCCACCGGATGCAAAAAGCATCCGCCAGCGATCGGATGCTTTTTCCTCCTTTCTCTCCTCACCCTTTTCTGTAAGTTCAGCTGGTTTTCACAATCTAAATAATGTTTTTAGTTTGAATTTTTGGTGTCGGACGCAAAATCGGAGTTTATCGGGTCCCAGGTTGAATAAAACGGCACAGGGTCACGGGATTCCAAAAATTCCAGGGAACATATACTCGTCTCCGGAATACTTTAAAAACGTCCCTATACCGATAGGAAAATGAAACGAGATAAGATGTGTGGTTCCGAAGCACAGAGACGCGCCTAGCTCGCGAACAAATCATTGGGGGCAGTTTTGTTCCGAACCCGGGTCCACCCAAAATAAAGCTGTAGACAGAAATTCTCTTCAGTGAAACTTGACTTTTTTTTCCTTTTTGGTGGAGCTTCATTTTTTTTAGATCTTCCCAATTTTTTGAAAACCGGCTTGGGCAGGCCCGGGGGGGAGGGGGGGGGGATTTTTTGTGTTCATCAGTTTTTACTGGAAACGCATAACCCTAGCTGTAATGCGCTGGTTCAAGGTTTTATGTAACGACAGAAGCTGTCACATCTAAAGGCAGACAACATATTTTTCTCTGAATACAATCCTTTATTCAAATTTACCTTAAGTTTTCTTGATTTATGAAAATCGTTACAAGGCAAGGAGGCAGTTGCAATATAACGACATCAAAGCCACTCATATTAATGATTGTGCCCTTTATAACGAGCTACCATCCATTAAAAGGGTATAGCCGTTAATGTATTATTCTATCCGATGGCTCAAGTGTCGCTACTCCAAAGCACATTCCATATTTAGTGGTTCTAGTTTATCCGAATGTGTGTGCTTCAACGTGCTTCATGAGTGAACTCTAGAAATAGGGAGGGGTTACTTGAGATGGCAGATCCGTTGCCTGCGTCTGTGGACACCACCAGGACCATGATGGCCGGGAAGACGGACAGCGTGACCCAGAAGATGAGCACGATGGACAGGAAGTACATCCAGCCCTGCCATAAAGGCGAATCAATCTCAGTCCGCATGCAGCAGTAATTCCGCCCAGGAAACTTGTAAGGGCCAACAGTGACAGACACGAAGCGGACACAGACGCGTACGCTCTAGCCTTGCCGACATGTCCATGTCCCCTTTCATGTGCTTGTCTTGTTTTCGTTCACGAACGGCTCATGCATCGTGCAAAGAACACAGTATTCGCTGCAGAAACGGTTACAAAATTATCTGCGTACACGCCTCAAGTGTGTTCGAAGCAGCTTCATATGTGCTTCTAGCCTGTCTGCTGACAGTCTTATTATGACCAACGTGACAGGGCCGTCATGCAAGGAAAGAACACGTCTTGGGCAGTGCCTTTAGGCTGTCTCTTGTATGATGAACGAGCGGTGTGAGCGCAGCCCTAAAAGACAGATCGCGTATCAAACACCCCCAGTCTCACGGTTGACCATCACGTTCGATATACACCAGCTAGCCTGCACTCTAAGCACTGCTTCGTTAGGTATACCATTAAGCAGTATTGTCACTGTCCGGGGTACATCATCTCGATAGACCCTTCCCAAAATTCAGTCTGGCCACTTCGCTTACTATCATCATCCGAGTGTGCGACATCTGTGGCACGAATGGAGGCTCTCTGGCGGCTGACCTAGGACGAAGTTGAAGACATGCACCGGCGCGACTTACAGACATCCCGTTCATTCTAAACGTCAGCATAATGAGAAGCACTGGTGGAATCAGAGTGCCGAGTCAGAGTTTTGTTTCTGACACGCGTCCGACCAATCGGTTGGCACTCACTTGGTTCACAAGCAATGGGATATGTGACGTTTATTAACGATTCTGATCCCGTAGGCACTTCGTACATACCGGTCATTTTGTTTGGCGGGTACCAAACTCGAAAAAACTCGAAGAATGAACTATATGCCGTTGATGTATAAAATCGCTACATTCTCACTACCATTAGCGAAAGAAAAGTTAGACTGCTCTATGAGCCACAGATGGCACTGAGTTTCATGGGAAAGTCTATTGCGTTGTAATTAAAGAAGAATGGCACACCGAGCCAAGGGACAGACGCTAGCGTTTGCACGTTGGTTCAGTGTAAGCTGCGTCATCATGAAGCAAATCCGTAGTCCCGGCAATTGGCGGAGGAGCGAAGGCACAGTCGCAGCCGCGTCAAGCAAAAACCGACACGAATCACAAAAAAAAAAAAAAAAATAATTCTTTTATAATTTCGTTGTGATGTGTTGAAGTCAAAGAAGAAACATTCACACGTACATGGCTAGGCGCGCGGGGGTGGTCCATCAAGGCTGGCATATAAAACAATTTTCGTAAAGCAGAAAAAGAAATAGGTTTGGACTTTGGAAATTGGAATTGGCTTTGAAAGACTGTCATCTTGGAGCACCTTTGGAGCACTGCATACATACGTTTGTAGATATTCGGTGCAGCGTCCTATTATCGTCCTCGACAGAATTAGAACGGCTGAGAGTTTTTTTTGAAAACTTGGCCATTTAGATTGCGCTCGTTGCCTTCCACCATGCTTTGGCTGCGCGTGCGCTAAGGGTGCACGAGGCGCAGAAGCATTGTCGAAGTCGGGAGGCTCGCGCTGGAGTTGGAATAGCTAAAGCTCCTCCCTGCAGTTCTCACTTTGTACTACTACATGATTCTCCTTAAAAACAGGCTTAGGCTAGGTGGCGCAAGCTAGCGCCCGTTACAAAGGGTATAGACATTAACAGCCATTTATCCGACTGTGAAACGGTCTCACAAACTTAGTCAAGTTTTGGTTTTCGTTTATTGGTGCAGCAGGACAACGGTTAGCGGGATTTGTGTTGGCATACTATCATCATCTGAAGTTAGTGTAGAGTACCAAATTAACCTTATATTTAATAAAGAGAGTAAATCAGCACAGTGGAAATTTATTTCGTGCCATGAAAAACACTAACTTTTGAGAAGTTATAGCTCATAAAGGCCAGAGTTTTTTGTGATATATAATATTGTTGGTGACACTAATTGACAACATCTCATCGTGTAAACATTCAACATATGAATTGCTTTACTTTTCCTTGTGTCGTGATGGTGATCTAGGTCTTCGAAAATCCCAAACTAAAATTATTAAGCAAACAAAAGGTTAATCGATAAAAATATTCAGGGTTTTCGTATCCATAGACGTTCAAGAAAGGACGGCCCAAAATGCCAATGGTTTGGCAAAAAAAAAACAAAAAAATCGCAAAAAGGAAAATTTTTACGGTCTTGTTTGATTGAATGTAGAAAGGAGAAAACTGGGGAGTCTACTTACTTCCATGACGTTCTGCATAAAAACGCTTCTTCATCGAAAGAAAAAAAAAATATTTTTCATGCAGCACTGTGATGTATTAATTTTTGTTTTATGTTTGTTCCATGAATAATCAAAGGTAGCGAATAAAATGTCACAAACCTAAGCAGCAGTTATCTGGTCCTGTGCCTATAACTTTATATAAGTATTTTCACAATTTCTCAGACTGGTACCATACGCCCACTTTATTTATTCTTATTTGCAGTTCACAATTACTTAGAACCAAGGCAGTTTTTAAATGTCTCCTTTTTTGCCGCAAAATATGGCTGCGAGGCAAGGATGTCTGACAGGACCTTATCTTGTTCGGTACCTTTCTTCCGTGTGTGTTCAGTACAATATATAACCAGTCCGCTTTCATGGACATGTAAGATTTTACAAAAAAAGAAAAAAAAATACGTCATCATCATTACGGGCGCAAAAAAAAGCTACTTGCCATGAGCGCGATCACATAGGTATCCCAGCGTTAGAGCTATAAGTAAGGTTCCGCGTTTTCGGTTTCCATTTATTTAAGATTCGGCGTACTTTTTTCGGTGTTTAATTTAAAATTTAAATTTCGATTATTTTCGGCGTATATTTAAGCCCACAAAATTTTAACGGCTTTTTTCGGTGAATATAAAATAAACACCAACGGACACCGGATCACATGATCCTTGTAGCTCTGATATTTGTGATCACTCAAAGAATAACGGCACAGATATATTAAAAAAGAAATCGTCACTTCATTTGGAAATGGTGTGCAACTGTAAAAGAATCAAGAAAAAATACTGCAGTACAAACAAGTCATATATGAAGCCTATGCCAAAAAAACATGGAACTTCACCTTCTCCATATCAGGATTACGTGATCTTAATATAGTACACACACATGTACTTTCCCAGGTTCTCCTCGTTGATCCGTGCTCTTTCTTTCCAGATAATATGACCCTGAGCTTCGAGAATGCCCTCTCAACGCTAACACTGGACACTGGCAGGCTGAGGAGATGAAGCGCTGCCTGAGCCAAAATCGGCCAATCAACCAATTGTGGCCGTCAAAAGAGACACGCTGTGACGTTTTGAAGCACAACACAACATGCAGAGCTCGCATCAAGTCAGTCTTCTTTACAACGAGTTTGAAAACACGCTCGTTTATGGCGAAGTCATACATTTGAACACGTTTCGATGACTGTCGTTCTACTTTTTCGTCATGGCTCTGCGGTACAACTGGAAGGTTAAAGTGACCTTTTCCGGTTAAAACTGCATTTTATGAAGGGGGTTCGACGTACTTTTATCGGTTTTTATCTGTTTAAATCGAAAAGGCCGAACCTAAAAACTGACCTTTTTCGGTTAAAACCGAATTTACGAAATGAATTCGGCGTACTTTTATCGTTTTTTTTCGGTTTCAACCGAAAACTCCGAACCCTAGCCTATACGGCAAAAATTGGTTCCATCACGCAACTGCAACGGCCATATCAATGCCGCGGAACCGAAAATCTGGATTGGATATGTGATGGCTTAATACTAATGGGTGTGCCCTTTAAAACGGGTGGTAGCTTGTGACAGCTAGCCTAACCCCCCCACCAAAAGAAAAAAAAGAAGTACCAGAAGTATGATTGTTTTCCACCTACCTAACTCCCCTCGCCCTTCTAAGTCATTTTTGTTCCCTCTGAATTTTTGAAACATCACTTGGCTGTGCGGGATATTGGCAGGATGATCTTTGGGTGATCGGGCAAAAAAACTAAAAACATCACCCCTCTGCCTTCTCACCCCGACGAGCGAGTCGGCAATTTTCCTCTGGTTAAACCTAGTCGGCGTTACCCAAACAGCGATCCCACTGGGAGACAGGGTTCAGACTAGTAGCCGCAGCAACGCCGGAAAGGTGTCCCAATTTTACTCTTACTTGCCTGTCCCCAGCTGTGCTGGTTAGTTTTACTTTATTCAATATTCCATAGATAATTTCTACCAATCTTCTAACCTCCTCTTTGGGTACCGCTGTCAGAACTTTTGAAGGGCTCCGTCGCGCAAGACCAACATATTCAGCACCTATCTTTGTGCTTATTTGGTACTTTTCGACAATCTGTTTTTTGAGTATCGGTGGTAGGGGGCATAAAAACTTGAGCAGTTTTTGTGTCAATCGACAGTACAGTCACAGTGATAGCTGCGATAAGTCAAGGCGAAATTGTTGGGCATCGGCGTCACCTTCAGGCTTCGCGGGGTGCGTGCCATCTGACCATTTTGTTCCGAACGCTTTTGTTTCTTTTTTTAGAGCGCAGCTCTTACCGCTCATTCACACTGGAAGTGAATCCGCGTTCGCAAAGCGGTTGCGAACGCGGATCCGCTTTCAGTGTGAATGAGCGGTTAGGCGCCCGTTTCCGGCTTGAGCGGCGTCGCCGTCGGCGTCGGCGTCGGCGTCGGCGTCGGCGTAACCGCGAGCCCCCTCCCCCCCCCCCCCCCCCCCCCCGCCCCGAGGGCCTCGGGGGGACCTCGGGTTCCTTCGGGAGGACCTCGGAAGGACCTCAGGTTCATTTGGCAGGACCTCCAAGGGCCTCGGGTACCTTCGGTGACCTCGAGGGAGGGGGGTTCACGTGACCTGCCCCCCGAGGTCACGTGACCCCCCCCAGGTCACGCGCCCCCCAGTACCCTTCCCTCCTCCTCCTCAAGAGCTGCGCTCTAATTCGGCGTTACAGGGAGTTGTAAACGGCTTTCACTTTTTGTTCCGGAGCGCGTGAAAGCGTCCCACGGCGCGTGCTTTTGGCATTGACAGCGCTACACTTGACATGTACACGTTACCCCCCAAAACACAACTACCCGTAAACTTCTGAGAGAACGCCCCCCCCCCCCCCCCCCCCCCCCCCCGAGAGATCGCCCATCCCGTTTTTCTGGCTAAATCTCTGTAACAAGAATTCCGAAGCATCGCTGATCGCTCACTCCCTGATTCCCGCCGGACGTTACGCGATGTCAGACGGGAATCGCATCCGCCGCGCGATCTGCTGTACCGGTACGTCTAAAAAGTGAGTTCATAGCGGGTCCCAGCGTTTTCGTTCGCGATCTGCGCGCGAGACATCAGCTCCCGTACCACTCGAATTGGTCCCGCGTGTATGTTGCATCGTGAAATACGATTCTGCTGCGTCCGCGGTGTGCGGTATTCGTTCCCGTGACACACGAGTTTGTAGCGGATTCCTGCGTTTTTGTCCGCGATCTGCGCGCGCGATTTCGGTTCCCGTTACAGGCAAGTTCGCAGCGAATTCCCGTGTGTTTACCACATCGTGAAACGCGAATTTGCGGTGTCCGCGATCTGGACTATCAGTTCCCGCGTCACGTGGTTTGTAGCGGGTGCCCCGGTGTTTATCATTATTTTGATAAAGTTTTGCTGTGGCATCTGCTAAGATATCTTACCCCATGTTTTTCATCATTTATTTTTTCATTTTGGTTGGTCGTTTTTAGGAACTTTACGGTAAATACCTTTACTCGTTACTCTCTCAAAAAGTAACTAAATACGTTACTCGTTACCGATTTCCAAAAGGAACGCGTTACTTTACCTCAAAGGTAGCGAGTTACTTTTCTCGTTACTTTGAGGACCAAACACAAAACCCCTTTTGTTTGATGTGTTATTGTTTTCTCTCCAGTAGTCATTGCACTTAAGCAGTAGCTGCTTCTCGACGTTTTCATAAGTTATGTTTCCCCGCTTCATTGAGAATACATCTCCGGTGAGGCTGAAGAGTCGTTCTACTGACGGATGTATTTATGTATGTTTATGGCTATACTTTTTGTAACGGGCTTTAGCTTGCGCCACCTAGCCTAAGAATAAGAAGACAATCATATGATTCCTCCCGCCCTTCTAAGCCAATTTCCACCGTAACTATATCAGGCAGTGTGGCATATCACCAGGATGACGAATAACGATGGCAAAAAAAAAAAAGAAAAAAAAAAGAAAGGGTAGCGAAAAAGCTAAAAACATCACTCCCTCCTTTTTACCCCCCGGCGAGGGAGTCGCCAATTTTCCTCTGGTCAAACCTTGTCGGTGTTACCCCTGCACCGGACCCACTGGAAGACAGGGTTGAGGCTTTGGGCCGGAGCCACGTGGGTGGGAGTCCCGATTTTCCTCTGGCCCGCCTGTCCCCAGCTCGAATGAACGGCAGTGTTGTGCTTCAGGAAGTACTGGTGAATCTGGGATTCCCCTTTCTTTTTGTTCTTTCTGCTTCTAAAGTTCTAAGTTGACAATGGCTTCTGTGCCTTCCCGCGTTGGTGATCTCCGGGTTTACATTCGGTTTGTACACGATTCTAGAATGTTCTCTGGGTGGAGGACATTCCCAGTTGTAGAGTTCGACTGACCTGTTCACCGATAAACGTTGCTATACTGTCATACTGTTTAGTTGTTTTTCGGGTTGCCCATCTGCCTTTGTCGCAATACACGCATACTCAGGTTAGAATTAAAACGAGGCTGCTTAAACGTCGTTGCAAACGTTACTCTTCAAAAGTAACGAAATACCGTTACTCGTTACTTGTCCTTAAAAGGTAACTAAATACGTCACGCGTTCCTTTTCTAAAAAAAAACGTAACTAAATACGTTACTGGTTACCGAAAATGTGACTACGTAGAAGTAACTCGTTAGTAATAACGCGTTGCGTACGTGTCAGTACTACACCCCATAAGTATAAAGCGGCTTGTTAACGCTGTGGCGTAGCTCATTGCTAACGCCTCCGTTTTGCTCGCAAAGGACCCAGGTTCGATTCACGCAGACGGCGGGTGATATTTCTGAAGAATTCGACAGAATCGACGTCGGACGCCCAACATCGCCAGCTGCAACGACAACAGCTACAACAATTACACCAACAACAAAGACAACGGACGACATTTGCAGTGGTGGGAAGGACTCACAGCTATCGCTGTAAAAGCAATGAAAATCAATTCAACGGCCCAGTGCCATTGTGTTTTAACGGCGGAGACATATTGGGCTGCCCTTTATTTGTAGTTCGCAGACAAATCTCCAGACGGCGCTTGTTGCTCGAAAAAGTCCACTACTGTAACTTTTATGCCCGTGTCCCACTAGAACGACGGACAGAAACAAAAGACAGCGACAAGCCTCAAACCCATGCAGTATGCTCGCGGTGGTACCTTTGGCAGGCGTTTAGTCGTTCGGTGCTCGTGAAGTAAGCACGAGCAGGTCTGCCAAAGATACCCTCGCGCGCATGATGCTCGTGTTTGAGCATAGCCTCCTTTTTTTAGAGCGCAGCTCTTAGGGGCCCGTTTCCGGCTTGAGCGGCGTCGGCGTCGCCGTCGCTGTCGGCGTAACCGCGCGGTGCATTATGGTTAAATGTCCCCGCAAAATCTAGCGGAAAATTTTCCCCGCTAGATTTAGCGGGAAAATTTTCCGCTACACTTAGCGGGGAAATTTCCCAGCTAAGTCTAGCGCAAAAATTTTCCCCGCTAGCGGAAAAACATTTTCCGCTAAATCTAGCCGAAAAATTTCCCCTAAATCTAGCGGGAAAAATTCTCCGCTAAATCTAGCCGAAAAATTTTCCCGCTAAAGCTAGCGGGAAAAATTCCCCGATAAATCTAGCCGAAAAACTTCCCCGCTAAATCTATCGGGAAAAATTCCCCGCTAAAACTAGCCGAAAAATTTCCCGCTAAATCTAGCGGGAAAAGTTCCCCGCTAAATCTAGCGGCAAAATTTCCCCGCTAAATCTAGCGGAAAAATTTTCCCGCTAAATCTACCGGAAAAATTTCCCCGCTAAATCTAGCGGAAAAATTTTCCCCCTAAATCTAGCGGAAAAAGTTCCCCGCCAGATTTAGCGCAGAAAATTCCCCGCTAAGCCTAGCGGAAAAATTTTCCCGTTAAACCTAGCGGAAAAATTTTCCCGTTAAACCTAGCGGAAAAATTTTCCCGCTAAATCTAGCGGAAAAATTTCCCCGCTAAATCTAGCGGAAAAATCTTTCTGGGGGGTCACGTGACCCCCCCCCCCCCCCCCCCCCCCCCCGAGTACAGGTGACCCTCAGTACCCTTCCCTCCTCCTCCTCAAGAGCTGCGCTCCAATTCGGTGTTACAGGGAGTTGTAAACGGCTTTCATTTTTTACAAAGCCTCTCAAATCGCGAAAGACTCTGGTTTGAGGCTTGTCGCTGTCGTTTGTTTCTGTCTGTCGCTCTAGTTGGACACGGTCTTTAAAGGGATACTCCAACGAAATTTCGGCGCTTATTTCTTAATCTATAGTCATGTTCAAGGGAGCAGTATCACGTCAGACACACCAACCTCTTGTTGGAAAAGACACGAAAAGGAATATTAAAACGAATTAAACGATCAGCAAAGAGCACCTGGTGGATGTCGCTAACACCTCATTTGTAATGCCCATCTAGGAACCTTGACAGGTAGTGACGATGCCTGTTTCGGCTCCGACCACCACGAGAGAAGAGGGGAAGGAGGAACTCCCCCCTCCCCGAGACTCTTTTGCGCGTCCCAGAAGTCGCAATGGCCCCTCTACAAAATGATAGAAGTTTAATCCGTCACTTAAAATCCGTACAAAAGTAGCTCTGGGGTTCCAGCCTCTTTGGAGGCTGAAACGGCGAGGACTTCCTATCGACGTCAGCCTCGCCGCAGCTTTGCTCGTCCTGAGACAATCTACGTCACGATTGCGCCGGATGTGACGTGCTCTCTGCTGGCCGCTGTGCGAGCGCTTGCCACAGCGGACCGTTTATAACGAAAAATACAACCATCAGGCTCAAAATACAAACGTGCGATTGTCATTTACGGATATTGTGGATCATATTCAGCCTATCTTTGAACAAGGCGGGTTATTTCCAATTTCGTTGAAGTATCCTTTTAAGTACGTAGCATTTACAAGCACCGTGCTGGTTGTAACTCCTTAGTAAAAAACAAAGCCAGCTGAAAAGAATCAACCGATGTCTCAGTCTGGAATGCCAGTTGTATCCTTCATTTGTTTATGCGACACAAATGTGCGAACCAGATTTATTGAATTCGTACCACTCACCCCTTTAAATATTTCCCACATTGAAGCTTTGCCCTTCTGGGACACCGCCGGATGATTGTCCAAGGCCTTGTAGGACACTGCGAGGCGCAAGAGGTGATATCTCGAGCTGAGAGGGTGGCGCGCCTAAAAGGGAAGATTCTGCGGTTTTGCAGCTACAGAAACTACGCATGTTTTCAAAACGCCGAGACTTTGCCCTTCGCGGGAAGTCATTCACTATCTCTAAATTCAGAATAGCTATTGAAAAACGGCAAATGAAGGTCATGTCAAAACCAATATTTGAATTTTTGTTGCGCTCTCCTCCCGTCGGGTTACACCACGTGTTGTATAACTTGCAAGTCAAGCAGGCAATCTAAAAAAAAAAAGAAAAAAAAAACAATATTTCTTGCGTTTTTCTTCTCGTGTTGTTACAGTGAGTTTCTTCAGCATTCATTTAACACCATCAAACTTCTTGTAACCCGTCGAGAACAAGCTGCACTACCTGCACATTACGTTTGACGTCACGTTTTTAGTGTTGCCAGTAGAACCTCTCATATAAAAATCGAAAATTCAATAACATCTCAAAAAAAATATTATGGCTCGTAATTGTGGTCAATGGTTCCGATATGTCTCAAATATGTAAGACAAAAAGTAAAAAATAAAGACAACCACATATGAGGCAAATCACTGACTACCAAAAGTTTGCCGGGATCGACTATTTAGAAATCGTTCAAAAACCGTATCGGAAAAAAAAAGAAAAAAAAAAAAAAGAAAGAAAAGAAAATCGTGTTTATCATATCAAAATTTTGCCGGGATCAACTAGATTTGTCTAAAAGTCGTTGCAAGGACTCTTCTAAAAATTAAAAAAATGTCGTGTCCATTAACTTCTCGAAATTGATGCCACATGACCTCACGTTACGATGATCCATGGTATTATGTGACGCAAAAATCTGACGCGGTGGCCTCACGGTGTCATGTGATCTGACGTCACGTGACGTTAGAGCACGTGACATTATTACGTTGCTTGACTTGAGGTCACATGACCTGGGTACATAACACCTTGACGTCACCTGGTCACGTGACCCAAAGTCACACGTTTCGAGTTCGCGTGAAGTTATTTTCCCCGTTAAATTAAGCGGAGAATTTGACATCTCGGTGTCAAGTCGTAGTGCCACGTGACTCTTGGACGCCCCGTGGCGTCTATTTCTCCACTAAATGTTTCAGAGAAATTCGCAGGCGGACCGAAGCACGAGCAAACTTTTTGAATTAGGGGTCCGTTAAAAATGCTTTAATAATGTTTGGTCTCCCGCCAAACATTTATGAACGGAGAATTCGTACTGATGAGCTCTCGTCTTGTGCGAGCTTCACTGCTGGCTGTTCGATGGTCACCTAGCATGTTTGGTTTATGGTACGGCACTTTGGCACTTACATGGCGAGCCAGACAAAAGCCAAATTTTGGCCCTGACTAGTGCCTCCTTGGAGACGAATGTTATTGGGCCAACTTAGGCACCTTAAAGTGCCAAATCTGGGCCAACTTAGGTTTTTTCGCTGGAGTGCTGCCTAGGACGGTTTCAAGCGCAGGAGCTGCCCCTCTACACGGCGGCCCGCCTGTCTGCGGGGATGGAAACTTATTCATGGTTAATCGCAGCAGCAAAAGATGGCTTTGTCGTCACTTCTCGACTTTGTTCAGGCCGTCGATCTTGAAGACCACAATGCCGGGCACATCTAAATCTGGTGACAACCACTTGTTACATGGTCACGTGACCTGACATCACGTGACCACTTGACGCGACAACACGACTCCTGTGAACGAATCCTCTGTTCACATGAATTTGGCGGGAGCGGAACTATTTCTTTAATTCATGGCTTCCCACAATCAATGTTCATACCGGACCTTAGGAAGGATTGTTTTGAGTTTGGCGCAATGCTCTGCATTTTTAGATTATGGCAATTGTTTTAGCACTGAACAAATACGTACGTTTTGTCCAAATTCCCGTGTGTGTTAGCAGGTTCATACAATGCCAGTTTCTTACCTGCTTGAGTAGAGACGTAGTGATGGTAGAACTCCTACAAAGAAACGATCCGGCAAGTTAGGAATACTTCGCGAGAAATGCCAGAGAAAAACAGCTCCTTCACTGAAGCGATGTGTTGCCCGTTCAGATGAAACTGCTGTCCCACTGATAGCCAATTTGCGAAATACTTTTTTTTTTTTACTAACTTCGTCAGTTTTATAACCAGCAAGTGTGCTTATTTGAATTTCGAAAACGACTTTTAGACCATTTCTCAAATGTCCCTAAATAAAAACAGAATACATGAGAAGGTGCCACCTATGAACGTCATCAGATTACTTGGGACTAGAAGTCAGCGTCACGATATACTAAGATAAACAGAAACCAACAAAAATACACATATGTACACATGGCGACACTGTTAGCGCGAACACGATATCGATCGGCGCAATTTCGCATTTTCCTTCTAAATAGTATTAGCGAGCACGAAATTTTTTCCCTTACATCATAGAACTAAATTAGCTCTTTCCGAAGCAATAATAACTTGGATGACATCCCGTGGTTTCAAAAAGAAAAACTGGAAAAACCGGCGACCGCTTGTTCGCGCTAACAGTGTCGCGCTCTGTACATACGTTGCGTACTCAGTAGAACAAAGGGATATGAATAAACACGTCTGAGCACGAATACATCTATCGAGCTGAATCCATGCCACCAGCAGGAAGACAAGGCTTGCGTCTCTCCCTTTCTAGCGTCGTCCCTAGTGAATCCACTCAGCAGCGCCTTTCACGCGTCCGCGTCGCTGCGAACGGATCTCGCGGCATCACACAACGAGCGCAATGCTGGCCCGCGGTGACACCCAATGCAACGCGTCTGCCACTTGACCGCTTACTCACGTCGAATTTCAACCTGTTTACCGCTTGAGGCGGGTCGGACACGCACTACTTTTTGTCACCGCAACTTGGCAGAGGGCGATGGCTACGTCCCCAGCGGACCAATCTGCGCGTCGGAGGGAGATACATGACTATACTGTATCTCATTATACTCATTTGACCTCAAAAACCGTAGTAAAAAAAAAAAAAAAAGTCAAATATTTTTTTTGAGCATTTTTAATTTTTTTATTTTATGTCGATAATAGACCATTTTCAAAAGTCCGCGCCATCACCTGTCCGCCGTTGCTTGCCCACGTATGCCCTGAACATGTACTGGACACGAAGACGTGAACTCGGGTTCAATTACGCGCTTCGTGGCCAAACAATGCCAACCACCAATGTTGCTTGATGGACTTTTGAAAAGGGGTCTATTAAGATATATGTAGGGGAAATTTAGATAAGATATATATTCTCTGGTCAAGACGCACACGTTTCAAACACCGAAAACGTCGCTTCTTCTTGCGACAACCAAATTTTGTAAGAACTACTTCGCGCGGCGTATAAACAATGCGCAAAACTTCCTTTCTTTGTGGGGTGATAATGAGTATGGTTGCCGGCAGTGCTGTTGAAGCCACGAGTGGGAGAGAGAGGAACACCGCATTCGTACAACTTTTGAGTAATTGGCCAATATCCGAGGGGTATAAAGGCGACGTCTGGGAGACAGAAAAGGGTCCGGGTCGGGGGGACTTTCTCCTCCCATTCCTCTCCAACGGCTTGGTTTACGCTTTCGCCCCTGTACCTTCGTTAAGGATGTGACGTGCTTCGCCTGCGTCGCTCTAATTGGCTCGTACACTCTAAAAAAAGAGGGTATCATCTTACACCCTTTTGTCCCATATAATACACCCCAGAATTTCAATTCGACGTACAGTGCCCTACAGTCGAACATTGGGCCCGAAACTTTACGAGGGGCTTGATAACGGTGCGATATAACTTATTAAATTGCTAAAGTACGTATCAAAGGCCAAAGAAAGAAAGCACAGAGCTTTCGCAGTACGGCCAAGAAAACTCCGATAATCTTTTTTGTAGTCAATAATACGTACATTAGCTATCTTAATAAGTTGTACCACACGGCTATCAAGCCCCCTCGAAAACTTTGGGGCCGCCTGTTCGATTATGGGGCGCTGTACGTCGAATTGAAGTTTTGGAAAGTATTATATGGAACAAGGGGTGTAATAATACACCTTTTTTTCTGAGAGTGTAGGGGCCCTAAGCGTTCGCCCTCTGCCAAGTTACAGCGAAACGAGCTATAGCGAGGACGTAATGTACAAGCCTTGCATGTTTGTCGGTTCAGGTTAAAGACCGATGACTAGTTGCCGCTTTCCACTTTTTCTTCGCTTCCTCCTCGCCCCCCTTCTAGACAGTCCACCGTTGCCTGTTTTCTCTTTCCCCATGGTGAGGAGGATCTTCTGCCTTGCAGAATCTCGAGTCTGGTCGTCGGGCTTTCAGTAGAGTCATGCGGGGCATACTCACCGTCTTCACCAGGACTCCGAAGCAGATTTGCGTAAAAATGAGTGTGACAACGGCCAAGATAAAGTAGAGCAGGGCGCTCGTTGTCGGAGATGCGTCCATGAGGAGGCAGAGGATCTGAGCCACCGTAGCGAAGATTCCTCCCACAGCCTGAGGAGGAGGAAGAGAGAGGAACATGTACTTGGAAGCTAGCTTACGTTCCGAGTGAAGAGCGCGAACATAGGTTACGGACAGTGTTGTAGGCGTTAAAAAAAAAGAAAAAAAAAGAAAGGAAATAAGTTACCTGCTATTGGCAAATAAAAGGAAGGCGGTACCATCCTGCGTTATATCGAAATAAAAGGAACCCGTTACCGCTACCTTTACCGATAAAAAGTAACGCACTTTACTTTTGGGTTAGTTTTTAAATTGTACATTAACACGTTTTACTGTTTTGAGGTTAGCAATATGCACAAGCGTATTGCTTATGCATAATGCTTAACAAAAAAAAAAAAAAAAAAGAAAACTGCAGAAACTCCGAATGAGTGCCGCGGAAACACATTTTGTGGATACCCACCTTGCCCGTAGGTTCAAGATACATTTTTCACCGCATAAATTAACTACACATTGCCGACCGCTCAGCCTCCGCCCAAATGTAGAGCTATAGTTGCGTACATGATGAGCGTGTTGGTAACAGTATCAACCACGAGGAAGGTAACAAAAAAGGGGAGGAGGGGCAAGTCATCCCCTTCTCTGTGTTACCTCCCTAACGGCTGATGACGTGGTACTATACTTGTTTTCAGTTGAAGTACAGACGCTGCTGACGCTATGAGCAAATTGAAGCGATTAAGCAGCTTCAAAAGCGCAAGTCACTAGACTTCGTTTTTGTTTGTTCAAGATTAGGTGATGGTGCCCTTTTCACGCCCTCTTGTTGTGTCCATAAGCTCGTAGCGTCGGCTGCGTCTGGGCACTAAAATGGAGTAAATATGCGGTCCGAACCGGTTGCCAAATTTCTAAAGTTTGCCGTTATCTAAATCAAAAGTCATAAGTGATTTCTGAAACTTTCAATGGGAAATTGGGACTCTTTCCCGGTAGTGGACGCCATTCATCTCGGTGTATTCGTGCGCTTCGTCGGCCACTATTTTTTCCTTTGAACATTTTCGGAAGTCGCGTATATGTAACAACTTTTGAATTAGGTAGCGGCAAGCACTGAAACTTTGGCATCTGGCGCAGACCGCTTGCGCTACGTTTGGGCGAAAGAGTGAACGTTCGGCGATGCGTAATCTAATTGTGCGAAAAAAAAAAAGAAGAAGAACCAAAAACTGTAATTTCTTTTTGGTGACACCCTGTACCTTATTTTACATCATTGGTGCGCTGCTAATGAACAAGACTTATGAATAGGGTTCCGTGCTTTCGGAGGTTTAATTTCATTGAAATTCGCGAATGTTTTTTCTTGTTGGGTTTTTCTCACAGGTTCGGTGTTTTCGGATGTAAATTCCGGGTGTCGGACAAAAAAAAAGAGAAAAAAAAGAACGTTATTAAATATTTTGGTAAAAAAAAGAAAGAAAAAAAAAGAAGGCAGGGGTGTAGGATTTCCTAACCTACGTGAAGGTGCTTACTCCGGAATTTTAAAACACGTCCCGGTGCCGATAAAAGAAGGAAACGATATAATGATCAATTTTAGCCGAATATTCCGATAACAATACCCGATTCTCCGCCTACCCCTTTTGCGCATGCATCATTTTGTTATAGCAGGATTCCGTGTTTTCGGTGTTTATTTCTCGCGGAATTCGGGTTTTCTTTTCTCTGAGCTTTCTTTTTCACCGAAAATTCGGGATTAGTCTGGGTTTATTTTTATTGAATTTCCTAGTTTCTTTATTTCAAAGTTTAATTTTACTGCATTTTCAATTTTGCAAAATTCAAAAATAAAATAAAAAGTCTGAACAAAAACTTAGCCCAAATTCCTCAGAACTCACCTGCTTCGAGTGATATTTCTGCATATGCATTTGCCGTTGGCACCCTTGCCATTGGTATTCGTAGCTATTCCACGACAAACATTGCAGTGAAGTGTTGCTTCAATAAAAGTCAATACTTCTGAAATAACTGAAGTCCTGAACGTAGTCGCTGGGAAGCACCAAAACTTCAGCTGCCCTCTCCCTATATTGACGTCTCTGGGTTCCTGGCTTTCACTGTTATAAAAAGGACTACCCCTGTTTCCTCCGAAAAGCACACGTAGTATGGTACAAACTGGAAACGATGCCTTTTGTCGTGCCCCAGAGATACCATGACCCGATAACCTGAACAAATTTTGACGAGCTAAAAGTTACACCCATATTTTTTTCAGTAGTTAAAGATTTCAAAGGAACTAAAGTGGCCTCTCGCGAAGACTACTGACCCTGTGGTATTTAAAATTTATTTTTAGAGCACCGTATTTTTATTTCTATTTAGTCTTTGAGACCTCGAAATTCATTTTTTTTTCTGGAATAAACTCGAATTAAAGGAAATTTTTAATTGCGAGTGTTTTTCGTTTGTTTTTTTTTCAGATTTATTCGAAAACACGGAACCCTATACTCCGTTTCAAACATCGCGTGCAACGCTGGGAAAGCTACTGAAGTAGTGCGCATGAAAAAACACACAAAATTGTGTTACTCCGCGAGATTTCGTGGACGAGTGGTACAAGGCGCTGCTCTGGCGATGCCGACATCTCGGTGGCGGTGGTTCGAATCCACTTAAGGCGCAAAGGTTTTTCTTTTTTTTTTTTTTTTTTTTCCGACCGATTTTTTGTGCAAGATTGTGCGTATTGCGGAAGTGCATATTTCAATTCCTCTTTTCTTGTTGATTTTTATTTATAAGGTAGACTAGGGGCTGGTGTTCCGCTCGAACTTGCGCCGGCCTCGTCAAAACGGAAGAACGGTCGAGATCCAGGGCGTCTCTATTTAAAGCCGTTTATTTACATGGTAGCGTGAAAATCAGAGAGTACCTTGAGAGTGTGGTGGACGGTCCTTTATATATAACGAATATTGTGATTAGGGGACCGCACTGCCATTGTTCAGACGGCTTGGCATTCCCTCACGTGATGTGACTTCATGGAAGTTTCCTTCAGAGTCAGAATACTCGCCGGTGTATGGAAGAGGTCATCCAGACGGCAGTATCTCGGTGCTCTGGTGCCGGCGCCCCCATGAAGCGGGAGTGATTCACAATAGACGCGTACACAACACACGGCACTCGAGATCAGGATCGAGTGTTGTTTCCTTTTCGAGGAAAGCAGAGGCCTCGGAATACAGGCACGGGCATGTGCGTCGTTTACTTAGCCGACCAAGGTTAAGGTGCCTCAGGCAGACGGAGCCGACCATGGTTACGGTCCCGCAGGCAGAAGAACCCAGACGCTTCGGAATGCAATCACGGGCACCGCCTGCTGTAAGGTCCCGCAAGCAGACGGAGCCGTAGGCACGATTCATCACCGACACAGTTCCTTCTTGAGGCTTGTTTCACTTTGAAGCCATAAGGCCGATTTCAACACCAGAAATGACAGGTGGCAGTTCACAACACTGTCCGCGAGCTCGGAACTTTCACGTTGCGAGGTCTTCGCTTCGGGGACGCCACCTTGCCAGACACTCCGGTGTCGTTACTGACCGTCTCCAGGACGTCACGGACCGACGTTTCCGGGAAACACGTTCTTGAACTCGCGTACACGTTGGCGATCACCTGCTTGCACTTTTGCGAGATCTTCACACAACGAATCTTCGAAAATATCCGAGCAGGAAAAGAAAGCTTCCCGCGTAAGACGCCATCTTCACGAAACCGGCGAGGCAGGGGCGGGGCAGGGGCAGCCGCACAACCCGAAAACCCGAAGCGAGTGCGAGTGCCGCACGAACGAAAACGGAAAATAATTTGGAGTAGTTTACATTATCTTTTCCTTTTTATTGAAAAAGAATCGGTGTTCCCTCGAAATCATAACGCCACTATTAGTTACTAGCTACAAAAATGTACACTTTTCGACTTTTTTTTTTTTCAGGGGCCGCACTATCTTGTGGAGCGAACGTAGTCGCGGTCGGCTGTGCAAACCGGCGCGCTAGCTTTGACTACGTTGCACGCTATGTTTGAAACGGAGTATAGTTTTAACTTAGAGGGTACCATTATCGAAGGTATCGAAACGATCCACTAAAACTCTCTAATACTAAGTCTGGAAGCGTCCTTCCCAAACGTTCAATGCGGGCTGTGTTCCTGGTCGACACAAAATAAAACCGCAAATACAAAAAAAAAAAAAAAGGGAAAACGTTTTTTTTTCTTAAACTTGGTTTTCCTTTTTCAAAGACAGCGCTGAATCCGGAGGTTTGTTTTTCCCCGGTTTTCACCAATTCAATTAAAACTGACCCGGGAGTTAATATTTTCTTTGTGTTATTGGTTGTATACCAAAAACACGGAACCCTGAATATGAACAAGGAACGATGATATGTTGAACATGTAGAACAGCGTGCGTACTTGACCGTAAACGTTGGACGCCATGAATTTTTCCGGAAAGCATCCTGCTAGCCCCGTTCCGCCGCCTTGCAGAAAGCCGGAGAATACTGCAAAGAGGCGAGCGTTTAGCCAACGGTACTTGGACAACAAGGACTTGGAAAAAATACTTGGACAAGGTTGTCAGTAATCATAGTAAAAAGAAAACAATATTTTACAATGGCCACTGACAACCTTAGAAACGCAGGGCATGGCTAAATATCTTTACGCCCATTGGTTCACGCCTATTCGTTCACGCCTTTTGGTTCACGCCTATTCGTTCACGCCTTTTGGTTCACGCCTATTCGTTCACGCCTTTTGATTTACGCCTATTGGTTTACGCCTATTAATTCACGCCTATTCGTTCTCGCCTTTTGGTGCACGCCTTTTGGTTCACGCCTATTGGTTCACGCCTATTGGTTCACGCCTATGGGTTCATACCTATTCGGTCACACCTATTCGTTCAAGCCTATTAGTTCACGCCTATTGGTTCGCGGCTATTGCTTCGTTAGCGTTGTTATCGATTAGGCAGCACTCTCACTGACGCCGGAGCAATAATGCTCGGTGCTCTCTGCGCTCCGCGTCAACTTAAAGGCGCACTCAAGTGCTTTCGTGGAAGCTCGTTTTCGATGGCATATTGTTTGTTGGGCTTAATTTAGTCAATAAAAGTAACCGGTTCTAGAAGGCAAGACGCCCTAATAAACTCACAGCAATTTAAATACACGGGCGTTATTTTCTCTTGTGGGGGCGGGGGGTAGTGGAGAAGGGGGGTATATCTGGGTTTTCATTACAACCGCCATTAAATTTGACCAATGAAATAGTTAATCTAGAGAAGATAGCGAACCTTACTTTTATCGTTCTTTTTAGGCGCGTTCTAGATTATGTTTGGACAAAAAACGTGAAATCTTTGAAGGTAAACATGTTTGAGAGAATTCTCTCTGGAATCTTTGGGTGTAGGAGACGTACTAAAAAAATATTATTTGAAAACGCCGTCCGACGGCGTCCCCTGGTGTCTGCTCCAAGCCGCAGGAAGATGGACGTGTTACGATCTTTGATTAGATGTTTAATAAGAAAATCGGCCCCCAATTAGTGTAAATTTGGCGCTTATAGGATGCCCAGAGACAGTAGATTGAGTCATCACCATATGTAAATGATCTCAGAATCCGCTTGAGTGCCCCTTAAAGCTTTCGGTGAGTATGGAGATTATTGCTTTGTTCTGTAGCAATGTTTCTCCTTACTATCTAAAAAAAGAAAAACTATTGTACGGTGGAACACTTACTGTTAATGAGTACCACGATGGACAAGGTGGCGGCCAGGAATGCTAGCTGATCTAAAAAAAGAGAAACAAAAAAGATGGCGGATTATTTTGAGAGAAGGCTGTCCCTGTTGGTATTCTTCTACCCCAAGTTACACGGGCACCTTTAACCGCAATTAGGTGTGACTGAGGTCAGACTGGGCATCCCAAGCCGCAGTTATGCTTTCGTATGTTTAGCAGGCTCTGCCAACTATACCCTAGTATTCTTGACCGAAGTTAATTCATACTTCAGTTGCATTTAACTGCGATTAAGGTGCCCGTGTAAGTAGGGCATAACTGTCACATGAGGAAGGTGTCAGCCAACCAGACACTTGCCTCGATGTAATCTCACTTAGTCTAAGAACTCCTGTGAGCACATTGACCGGCTTGGAATTGTAATTTGTCTAAATCCTTCAACTCGACCACATATTCAGAGGCTCCGGAAGTCTTTCTTTAGAGGGGGGGGGGGGGGGGGGGGCTCGACATCTCCGAAATCCTCAAGGTTAGGTTGGTTTCAGGTTGACATTAATTGACACATTTGAATCAAAACATATTAATGCACCGCCTTCGCATATTCACGCACATATCCATGGAAAACAAATTAAAACAATGGTTCAGTAAAATAACAGTAAGAAGCTTGCACTGACAACTCATACAATGATTGGATAATCACTGAAATCAGCCGCACCATGTGTTATTTATTTTTTCTTTCCTATACCAACTGTTACATGTCAACCGCAGCTGTGCCTATGCCAAATTGGCTATGTCTAAAAATGAAAACCTTCCTTCATTTAGAGATTCTCGGGGAAGCATGATGTATTAACGCAGACGTAGACAAACAAGTGTTAAAAGTTTTAGACAAAACCCCGAGGCTCGGGGGGAAAAAAGGACAACACAACACGGAGTCTGAAACACAGCAAGTTGGGCCATCGGATGTCTCAACTGGAGGCAGAGGTTGCATACATCGGTATGTACCTCAGGATCAAGTACATCGACCGTGATCGCTTCGGACTCCTGGCGTCAATGCAAGTTGGGGGACATCACAAAAGGAAGGTACTGAAGGATAAGAGCTGTGTTTCAGACTTCGTGTTGTGTTGTCCTGAGTTTGTAAACATGTGTCGCCTCATGCCTCACCACCCTGCGGGCACGACGCCGTATGCGCGCAAAGCTTTCGCCATCGAAGGCGCCTTGTCAAATTTGGGAGCTCGTAGACTTTCGCCTTTTCTAAGCACTCCCGAATCCCCACTCAAGCTCACCAGCCCCCCTCCCTCTCCAAATGATGGCCTTTAAGCGCCGCGGTAGTACCGCCTGCCTGTTTTGTCCGCGGGCCAGAGAAGCACCATGCATCTTCTGGGCTTCTTGCTTCAACATGGGGGAAGCAGACAAACGCTCGCCGACGTCGTCTTGTCGGAATCCATTCATTTCGCTGTCCCCTCTTTGCTCGCTTCAAACTGGTTGTCAATCAGGCTCATGAGTCCTGCCTGTCATTTTCTTCTGGTTTTGACTTTTCAAGCAAGCCTCTTCGTCGCCCCGGTGCTTTTTGTGCTTGGCGGAGGTGAGGAGGGCGGTAGGTCAGCATGCATAAAGAGTCATTTCATTTATTTCGGCTTAGGAGAGACGGAGGTACAGCAGATAGGCCGAAGGCCCATACCAGATAACCTGCAAACACGCAAACTAAAAAAAAAAAAAAAAAAGAGGGAGGGGGAGGGGGGGGGGCTCGGCAGCTTTGTCCTGAGGACAGGAGGGGCTCAAGCCCACCCAGCCCCCCCGCTTCCGGAGCCCCTGCACATATTTTAGCTGGGCTTCAATGTTCTTTAATTTGGGCAGACACCTCAGTTCAACAAATACCTGTTCTTGAGTTTTCTTCTTGCTATGCGTTCTTATACAACCCGCTTCCCTCTGTAACAGCCTATGTCCTGAGGGTAAACGGGTAATAAATAAATAAATAAATAAATAAATAATAATATATCCGAAGGAATGAAGGTCTCAGGGTCGCTGCAGATGTAATGAATCGCGTAAATTTCTTGGCAGTCTCAGTGCAAACGGTTAGTCATGCGTCTGCGTCCACATGACGGGAAGAAGTCGTCTCAGGAAGCACCCGTCAACTCCTGGTGGTTGGTCTTCCCCGTGATATTATAATAGAGCGTTCTAGAATGGGGGGCCCCAACGCTTTAGGTCCCGCAAGCAGCTTGGGGTGTCTCACTGCGCGTGCGCAGAAGTTCTGTGCATACGCCGTGCGACGACCCGGAGCGCTGAGGTCCCTTACTCTAAAACTCTTAGTTTACAACGTTGGAAGTAAGACGAAGGGGATTACTCCTGCCCAATCGATTGTAACACAAAAGAAGATGTTTGTACGTCGGTATTCAATCAAAGCACGTCACGTTCGACCGTTACGCTCATCTGTAACCCTGGGCCGTTACACGTAGGTTCAAATGACAAAAGATAGGCGCCCCATGGAGGCATTTTTAAAAGACAAATACAAGAATAGTGGTGAGGGGAAGAGCCAAATCTTGGTTTATACATAATTTGATTATACCGACAAGAACTGGGGAACGCAAGATACGTTGAGCTAGGATACCGTGCGGTGTGTAGGTTGATCATGCTGTCAGTGCGTGATGGAGGTGGCGCTTGTGTGTGCGGAGCTAGCGCGCAGACGTACTTCATGCGGATGGTCGTTTACCCACACCTGCTTCATAAGAAAGCCTAAGGGCGTTCCGGCGTCACTATAAAAGTCTACCGTAGGTCACAAAATGGGTACGGCGTCGGCATTCGGCTGGAACTCGTGTGCAATCGGTAAGAACAAGACTGCTAGCCGAACGCTGACGCCCTAGTCGTTACATGGATGGATGGATGATATTGGCTGTGCCCTTTGTAACGGGCGGTAGCTTGCGCCACCTAGCCTGAGAAAGTGCCTTCGTCTCCCACTCGTGTCCAATTTCTGGCCCACGGTGGCCTTTTTTAGCGACGAAGGAAACCACTTGGGCTTTCTTAGCTAGGAATTGTCGGTTGAACCATACTATGATGCGGTCGCTCACTTCGGTGAAGGCAGGTTAGGTGCAAGTGCCCCAGTCGAAGTAAACGATTGCCTTGCCACCCCTAAGGCGTGTCCAGGGCTTGAAACGTAGCGCCGCGGTCACCCGGTAAATCTTCCTGTCATAGCCGTTATCGTCGTCCACGAGGCTGGTATCAGCATCATAAACAGCTCTGTGCTTTACTCTCTTTTTGTTGGGCAAACGAGGCCTGATGGCCGAGGGAGATATTTGCTCGCGGAAAATCTCGGCGGCTAGGTTTACCGTTTACGCAGTTCTAGGGCTACATGATTGGTGATGGGTCAGCTTGAACATACAGAAACTCAAACTTACGGAAAGGTTCGACCTGATGCATCACTAACACGCACCAACTAGCTCAACTCGAACCTACATGATTGATGGTGCCATTGTATCAGTGTGTCTTATTATGAGCGGTTACAACTTTCGAGCGCACTCAAACCGCAGCTGTGTGAACGAGCCTGAAGGAGCGGGCGAAACGTGACGTACGCTGGTCGGTGTTCACCTTGACGAGCGCCGCCGTGGCGACGAACAGAAGGGTGCAGCCCAGCAGGGGCCAGCCGATCCTCACGGCGGGCCTGACCCTGCAAGAGACAAGGGCATGATGGGACACGGAAATCCGACTGTTCCACCGTGGTCTGTTTCGCTCATTCATACATAGCTCCTTTGATTTGAGGAGTTACCACACCGAAGAGGGACACAAACAAGGTTCCTCTGTTTGATTTTAGAGCGATAGCTTTATGTAAGAACCCTCCACGCTCTTTTTTTTTGGTCTGGCCGCATTACGTCACAGTGTCACCTGACGTCACGGCGCAGTGTGATATTACGGTGTCATGCGACGTCCCGGTATCATGCGATGTCACAATATGGTGCCTGGAACGCGTCTTTGACTTATGTGTTTACCGCATAAAAAAAAAAAAAAGAAATGTGTTTTTTTTTATTTCCACCTTGTTACGTCATAGACGTGTCATGCGGTCGCCTGTCGCGATCCTGGCGGTGTTTCAGCAGCGGTTCCAGCAGCTGTGGTGTATATGGCAGACGCCTGTTCTGCAGCAGGTCACTCTCCTGTGTGACAGTCCACGGATGTGCTGGGCAGCTAGAAGTGGTGACGCCGTGAAGGCAGCGACACTCGCGTTCGCTCCTGCTTTTGGACAGCATTTCTACGACCGACCGCCAGGATCGCGACATCCGACAGTGTGACAGTTGGTTCCCAGGCGAAAACATTCCCCACGGCTTGGCGAAAATATTCCGGACCGGGGAACCCAGAGAACGTGGTGGTACTGATACAGAGCAGTAGAGCGAGCTTTAAACTTTTCCAGTTTTGACCGCTACTGAAGGATCGGCTTCGGTGAAAGCACTCACCATTGGCTCAGGTAGGCGTTTGCCACCAGGGAGATAATGTAGGGCACCTTGCTAGCGATGGCCAGGTAACTAGTGAACGAGGCCTGTAGCTCGCTCTTCTGGGTGAAAGACGCGTTGGAGTTCACATCTCGGAACTTGTACTTCCAGTACTGCGAACAGAAAGCAAACGGAGGCCGTGAATTGGGACAGACACGCCGCCATCGAACATTCTCGCTGAATTCTAGTATAACTCGTTATAACTCGTTATATGTTTCAGAATTACATTATCGTCACATTTTTTGGGGCTCTACGACCAAAAGAAAGTTGAGCAGATTAAATTTCGCATAGAAAAGGGTCCTCTTTTTAACTTTTAGACGGGTTTGGCCTTTGGTTCGCGGTAAAGACTTGGTGGAAACACTTCACATGGTGGGCAACCTCGAGAGGAAGGCGCACTTTATGACGCGAAGTTCAGAACGCGCGTATTGAGCCGAGGAATTCGGAACGTGCGCTTCAGGCCTAGAGAATCCGGTAGTTTTGCCTGGCACAGTTTAAAGGGGCCCTGCAATCATATTTAAGCGTCTACCGTTTTTGCGGTTTCCACGTCTCTTGGGGTTGGGGCAACCCAGCGGGCACGGAGAGAGTAACTAAATATCAGTGCGTCATATTTTAACCGGACTACGCGGCAACCTCTTCCACCGACGAGGGCGACCCGCGGTACCGAAAGCGCGCAAAATGTGACGTCTTTGGTCCTGGGCTTGTCACTGGTCAAAGCCGCTAAGAGCTTTTTTTTAGTCGAGATACAAAATATAAGTGTCGCGAACCGTTTCAATTATGTATGAAAGTAGTTTTTGTTCACTATTTTAGATCAGAAAAGAAACAAATGCAGTTTAGAAAGTACGGAAACGAAAAATGACCCGTCGACATACCCGCCACCAAGCGGCGGAAAAAAACCGGCGCATACTAGAAAAGGCTAGTGGGATGAGGCTACGACAAACGAGGAGCGTAGAAAGGTCCCGGATGTACGCGGCGGCGCTGTGGTCGTATACCGGCTTAAGAATCCGACCGGTTCCGAGCGTTCCGAAGGCCTTCGGCGCGGGCCCTGTTGGCGATTTGGCCATTTGGTGGTGCGTCAGCGCGAAGTGGCTCCCGTTCTGAACTGATCTTTACCCCGTGTTTGCTGTCGTTTGTGGCCAATGAAATGTTATGCCGAATTAGTGTTTAGTCGCGCTGCAAATGCAATACGAGCTGCCCTGGCCGCCCGCTTCATACAGCCTATCCAACACATGCTTTAGTGGCGCCCTCTCGAGCCGTCGACACGGAGTGCGGCAGCCGTGCGCGCTCGATGAGCTCACTACTCCTCCTCTTGTTCAAGGCAACTCAAGGCAGGACCTACGACGTCATAAAGGAGGTTATTTTTTGCTTGTTTTTGTAATTCTAATTTGCCTATAACTTTTAAAATAAAGCGAAATTTGAGAAAAGAAAAGTTGGATTAAGTTACTACGTTCAGTACGCTCAGGTTCAGTGCAAATTAAAAACCAGTCAAAAAGTCATTGCAGGGCCCCTTTAAGGGCAGTTCAAACTCTCAGACAGGGCGTCGGCATGCGGTGAGAGGTTCACCGAAACTTTCTATGGCTTTGAGGACCCGTGGCGGGTCGATAGTGAGCAGAATAGTGTAACAATTGAAGGCGACCACAAGGGAATGGGACAAGGAAGAAGGTAAGGTTCCAGAAGGTGCAGCGAAAGTACCGGGCGACATGCCCATGGGACTCATCGACACCATTTCCACGATATTAATGAAACCGGTTTTGGGGTTAGTTTTCGGGGTTTATTTGTATATATCGAAAACAGTAAATCCTGATTATAACCATCCTTACTGTCTGTGTACACCTGTTGAGGATGCCCAACAAATTTGCATCTTAGTTATACCCAGGGTTCGGCGTTTTCGGTTTAGACCGATAAAAACCGATAAAAGTACGCCGAATTCATTTTCGGAATTCGGTTTTAACCGAAAAAGGTCAGTTTTTAGACGCGGCATTTTCGATTGAAACCGATAAAAATACGTCGCATTCATTTTCTAAAATTCAGTTTTAACCGGAAAAGCTAACTTTGACCTTCCAGTCGTACCGCAGAGCCGTGGCGAAAAACTGGAACGACAGTGTCTATCGAAATGTACCCGAATTTATGGGATACACGGATGCCATCACGACGTTTTGGTTTGAAAGTGCCGCATCGTCGATCCGAACGTGAAGTCTGAAATGCCCCATGACTCCCCATATACAAGCGTGTTTTTTTATCTCATTGTAAAGAAGACTGACTTGATGCAAGCTCTGCATGTTATGTTGTGCTTCAAAACGTCGCACCGTGTCTCTTTTGGTGGTCACAATTGGTTGATTGGCTGATTTTGGCTCAGGCAGCTCTTCATCTCCTCAGCCTGCCAGTGTCCAGTGTTAGCGTTGTGAGGGCATTCTGGAAGCTCAGGGTCATATTAACAGGGAAGAAACAGTGCGGATCAACGAGGAAAACTTGGGAATGTACCTGTGAGTGTACTATAATAAGATCACGTAATCCTGATGTACATACGGTGAAGTTCCATTTTTTTTTTAAATAGGCTTTATATCTGACTTGTCTGTGCTTCTGTTTTTTTCTTGTTTCTTTTACAGTTGCACATATTTGCCAAATAAAGTGTCCATTTCTTTTTCAATGTATCTGTGCCGTTATTCTTTGAACGATCACAAATATCAGAGCTACAAGAATCATCTGATCTGGTGACCGTTGGTGTTTATTATATATTCACCGAAAAACGTCGATAAAAGTTTGTGGGCATAAATACACGCCGAAAAAACCGAAAATTGAAATTTAAAATAAACACCGAAAAAAGTACGCCGAATTTTGAAAAAATAGAAACCGAAAACGCGGAACCCTAGACTTATACCCCTTCAGCTGGCCTCTGAGCTTTTTCTAGTTTACATTATCATTAAAACTTTGGTTTGGGCTGGTTGGTCCATGGTAGGTATAAGGTTTAAAAGCGCAAACAGACAGGGACAATAGAAAATAACACAAACGACAGGGACAAGGCGCTACTCTCAACATAGAAAATAACACAAACGACAGGGACAAGGCGCTACTCTCAATAACACAAACGACAGGGAGAAGGCGCTACTCGTTGAGAGTAGCGCCTTGTCCCTGTCGTTTGTGTTATTTTCTATTGTCCCTGTCTGTTTGCGCTTTTAAACCTTATACCTTTACATTATCGCTCGCTCTCTTGATGTCTAAATGAGCTAACTGTAAAGGACTTGGGCTCTTCATTGCTATCTATGGACATCCAGTGATGATGAATAGGTTATATTCTAGCTTTCAATCTCTCCGGAATTAATCTTGAACCTGAACCAGAATTTAGATTCCCCCCTTGTGCCCCTCCCTCCATTCATCGCTTAGTCTTGGCTAATAGCGGTACAACTTGATGTTGCCTTTGTTTTCTCCGCCTTTATATGTCAGTCTCATTTCGCTTAGTTTCCAATCGATGGTTATTCTCTACATATTCCGGATAGTTCCTGTAAAGTATCGCAGTCATCTGCCTCGAGTACTATGTCGTCCGTGCAGTTCAGTCCTGGTACTGCTAGTATTACATTTCTCCCTCCTATGTATAACTCACATCAAAACCTAATTTGCTCTGCTGCAGTTCCTGATTCATTCCACTGAGGTATATTATATAGAGGAGGAGAGGTGGCACTGAACAGCCCCGCAGTAACCCTTATTTTATTGCTAATGGTTGTGACGTTTCTGCTTCCCACGTTATAACTACGGTTCCGTGTTTTTAAGATTTATTTTTCTTCAAGTTCGGAAATGTTTTTTCTTTTTTTTGTGTGTGTGTTCAGTTATTTTTTACAGATTCGGTGTTTTTCGATGTAAATACTAGGCTTCGGACAAACATTTTTGTTTATCGGGGCCTTTGCTGAAGAAAACATGACACGGACATGCGATCCCCAACCATCAGGGAACATCCGTTTAACCCGATTACTTGGAAAACTTCCCAGTACCGATAAAAAAAAAAAAAAGCTTTTTAGACAGTTTAGTGTGGGCTGCGTTCCGTTTCAACACAAAATAAAGCTGTAGACAGAAAACAAACAAACAAACAAACCAAGCGCTTTGGAATTATAATAGATTTGAAGTGGTCAGGGGCCTATAAAAAGGAGTGATGGTGTCAGGGCTGTCTCTTGGCAATGGAGTACTGTGCGTAAGATCAGAGGTTCAATCTCGATTGACTGCAAATTCAACAAAGCCATGTGGGCAGATTGTCACGGGGGCGCATGAGAACATGCCAAGCGAGGGAGTGCAGGGGGACATGGGCTGGTCGTCCTTCGAGAGCAGAGAGGCAATGAGTAAATTGAAATTTGAAGAAAGGGTAACTGGAATGGATGATACCCGGTAGGGCAGAGAAAGTATTCAAGTATTTGTATATAAAAAGTTTAAACACAAAATAGATAAACCGAACCCGTCAGTTGACCTGCACACTAATGGTGGGGTGGAGCAGACCAGTTCATGAAAAAGGGAGTGAAAGAGGCAGAAAGGACAATGTGGGAGAGCATAATAATAATCAAAAAATGCTTTAGCAATGTACAGGTCACAGCAACAGGTCAAAAGAAATGAAAATGTGTTTGGTAATTTACGGGAACGTTCTTTACGGATTGAGGGGATAACGGGTGTGTTAAAAAGAAAGATGTATAGGGCTAAATGCCAAGAGATGAACTTTGCGGGGGCGACGGATTTTGTGGGCGAGGAATGAAAGAATGGAGGAACGAAAGATTACAGTCACAAAGAGGAGTTTAAACGTTTGATGAAAGTTATCCAGGAAAAAAAAATAAAGCCAACTAGCACAGCTGTGAGAAAGGCGGAACGGAGAAAAACGGTACTCTCTTCTGCGCGTCTCCGACCCAAAGTGTCAATCTTAAGTCGGAGCGGGTCCGGGGTTGACTTTAATGCCGACAAGGTTTGGTCAGAGAAAGAACTGGTGACTCCCTTGGCGGGGGAGAGGACGGGGTGCGTGTTTTTTTTTAAATTTATTTGCCCAATCCCACGATTGTCATCTGGGCGATATCCCACACTGCCTGGTAATGGTTACAGAAACGGAGAAGAGAAGGAAATTGGAGGGGGAGGGGGGGGCGTGTAATTG